TGGGGAATCAGTTTTCTCACAATTCCTGACATTTAATCCTAGTAAGAATTCCCTGTCTTAGGTCAGTTAGGATCACCACTTTATTTTAAGAATGTGAAATGTCAGAATAATAGTCGAGAGAATGATTTATTTCATCTTTTATTTCTTTCATCACATTCCCAGTGGGTCAGAAGTTTACATACAGTATTTGGTAGGATTAACTTTCAATTGTTTAACTAGGCCTCCTTGCTCGCACACACTTTTTCAGTTCTGCCCACACATTTTCTACAGGATTGAGGTCAGGGCTTTGTGATGGCCACTTCAATACCTTGACTTTGTTGTCCTTAAGCCATTTTGTCACAACTTTGGAAGTATGCTTGGGGTCATTGTCCATTTGGAAGACCCATTTGCGACCAAGCTTTAACTTCCTGACTGATGTGTTGAGATGTTGCTTCAATATGTCCACATAATTTTCCTTCCTCATGATGCCATCTATTTTGTGAAGTGCACCAGTCCCTCCCATCCAGCATGATGCTGCCACCCTCGTGCTTCACAGTTGGGATGGTGTTCTTCGGCTTGCAAGGTGCCCCCTTTTTCCTCCAAACATAACGATGGTCATTATTGCCAAACAGTTCTATTTTTGTTTAATCAGACCAGAGGACATTTCTCCAAAAAGTACGATCTTTGTCCCCATGTGCAGTTGCAAACCGTAGTCTGGCTTTTTTATGGCGGTTTTAGAGCAGTGGCTTCTTCCTTGCTGAGCAGCCTTTCAGGTGTCGATATAGGACTTGTTTTACTGTGGATATAGATACTTTTGTACCTGTTTCCTCCAGCATCTTCACAAGGTCCTTTGCTGCTGTTCTGGGATTGATTTGCACTTTTCACACCAAAGTACGTTCTTCTCTAGGAGACAGAATGCGTCTCCTTCCTGAGCGGTATGACGGCTGCGTGGTCCCATGGTGTTTATACTTGCGTACTATTGTTTGTACAGATGAATGTGGTACCTTCAGGCATTTGGAAATTGCTCCCAAGGATGAACCAGACTTGTGGAGGTCTACAATTTTTTTTCTGAGGTCTTGACTGATTTCTTTTGATTTTCCCATGATGGCACTGAGTTTGAAGGTAGGCCTTGAAATACATCCACAGGTACACCTCCAATTGACTCAAATTATGTCAATTAGCCTATTAGAAGCTTCTAAAGTCATGACATCATTTTCTGGAATTTTCCAAGCTGTTTAAAGGCACAGTCCACTTAGTGTATGTAAACTTCTGACCCATTGGAATTGTGATACAGTGAATTATAAGTGAAATAATCTTTCTGTTAACAATTGTTGGAAAAATTACTTGTGTCATGCACAAAGTAGATGTCCTAACCGACTTGCCAAAACGATAGTTTGTTAACAAGAAATGTGTGGAGTGATTGAAAAACGAGTTTTAATGACTCCAACCTAAGTGTATGTAAACTTCCGACTTCAACTGTAACTTCCCAGTGAGGCCAGATCGATAGCTGTAACTGGTCTTGGCCGTGACATTTTGGCAGGTCTGGGTTTTGTCACAATGTGGGTTTGTTGTTTGTGTATTCAGCCTTGAATAGTAGTGATGTCACGTTTGATACTAGCGCTCAGGGGCATGCGAGGAAATCTCAAAGGAGTTTACTCCGATGCAGTTTACTCCGATGCAGTTTACTCCGATGCAGTTTACTCCGATGCAGTTTACTCCGAAGCAGTTTACTCTGATGCAGTTTACTCCGAAGCGGTTTACTCTGATGCAGTTTACTCCGAAGCGGTTTACTCTGATGCAGTTTACTCCGAAGCGGTTTACTCTGATGCAGTTTACTCCGAAGCGGTTTACTCTGATGCAGTTTACTCCGATGCAGTTTACTCCGAAGCGGTTTACTCTGATGCAGTTTACTCCGAAGCGGTTTACTCTGATGCAGTTTACTCCGAAGCGGTTTACTCTGATGCAGTTTACTCCGAAGCGGTTTACTCTGATGCAGTTTACTCCGAAGCGGTTTACTATGATGCAGTTTACTTCGATGCAGTTTACTCTGATGCAGTTTACTCCGATGCAGTTTACTCCGATGCAGTTTACTCCGATGCAGTTTACTCTGATGCAGTTTACTCCGATGCAGTTTACTTCGATGCAGTTTACTCCGATGCAGTTTACTTCGATGCAGTTTACTCCGATGCAGTTTACTCCGATGCAGTTTACTTCGATGCAGTTTACTCCGATGCAGTTTACTCCGATGCAGTTTACTCCGATGCAGTTTACTCCGATGCAGTTTACTTCGATGCAGTTTACTTCGATGCAGTTTACTCCGATGCAGTTTACTCCGAAGCGGTTTACTCCGAAGCGGTTTACTCCGAAGCGGTTTACTCCGAAGCGGTTTATTTCAAAGCAGTTTACTCCAAAACGGTTTATTTCAAAGCAGTTTACTCCAAAACGGTTTATTTCAAAGCAGTTTACTCCGAAGCGGTTTACTCCGAAGCGGTTTACTCCGAAGCGGTTCAAAGCGGTGTGCCGATGCCTGTATGACTTTATCAGAAGCAGAATGTTTGTTTATGGTAAAGAACCTGTTTACCTGTTCTCATCAGAACCGCCAGCCAATGATGAACCAGATGAGTGGAGTGTCCAATATGAACCTACCTCTACAGTCCAACAACCCCAACCAGGTAGCTTACTCACACATTACTCACAGTTACTCACACAGTAACCAAATAGTTATAGAAATACCAGTATTATAATTCACCAGAAAACAATGATCTTTTTTTTTGTAGATATTGTTAAATCTGACTATCTCCTTTTCTCTCTGTCTCCAGGGGACCATCAATGCTCAGATGCTGGCGCAACGCCAGAGAGAACTCCTCAGCAACCACCTGCGGCAGCGTCAGCTGGAGCACCAGAGACAACAACAACAACAACAACAACAACAACAACAGATCGCGGCGCAGCAGCAGAGGAACATGGTGATGAGAGCCCAGGGACTCAACCTACCTCCCAATATGGCCGCCGCTGCTGCAAGTGGCCTATCAGGAGGCCTGAGTAACCCCCGGATCCCCCAGACCACCAACCCCCAGCAGTCCCCCTACCCACCCAGCTACGGTACCAGTACAGGCCCAGGCCTGGCCTCACCCACTCCTCCTCCTCACCCCTCTACCAGCCCCTTCTCCTCCCCCCTCCTCTCGCCCAGCCTGCCCTCCTCTCTCCCCCCCCACCACGCCCTGCATGGCTCTACCTCCTCCCAGATGATGATGATGTGGGCGACGGGGGGATCAGGACAGGTTGGGGCCGTAGTCGGCCCTCATGTACAGCAGCTCAGTGCCTTTCAGTTCTCAATCTCAGGTACCTACTGCCTTACAACCCACCAACAATTAGATTCATCCGCCTCCTGGTTAATAGCCAATCCTGATTGGTCCTCCTGATTTAATAGCCAATCCTGATTGGTCATCCTGATTTAGGCCATAAAACATATTTTCCACTAGAGGGCAGTAGCTGGACAGAAAGCGGTACCATACAAACTACGTTAAGCAGACACCCTTATGATTTACAGTCCGTGCATTCAACTAAGACTTCCACATTGCCAGTAAAAACGTTCCTTAATAAACCATCAGCTCAATCAGTGCTAGTAAGAAAAGACTAAAGCAAGAAACACAAGTTCAACATAATAAACTTCATGTTACATACATTGTAAATACAGTATGTTCATTTTACAGTTTACAGTGCTGTTTGTATATTTTATTGGGTCTTTTTAAGGCTGCTTGATAGGACTGAATTCAAACTATTTCCCAATTCCCATTAGTGCATATCAATTAGATCAATATTTAATCAGACATACATCTGATTATAACCCCTTAGTCTCCCAGTGTAATATGTAATCTCAGGTTAATCTGAAGATAATCCTGTGTGACATGCTGTCCTGCAACATGGTGGTGTGGTTGATCAATCCCTTACAATAAAGAACCCCCTCCTTTCCCCCCTCCCTCCCCCCCCTACTTCCCGCCCTCTCTATCCCGCCCTCTCCTCCCCCCCCCCCCTCCTCCCCCCCCTCTCCTTCCCCGTCCGCTCTTCCCCCTTCCCCCCCCCCCCCCCCCCCCCCCCCCCCCCACACCTCTCTTTCCCACCCTCTCTCTCACCAGTCTCCCTCATCCTCTCTTTCCTCCACTTTCCTACCCCCCCCCTTGGCTGCTCACACTAATCGTGCATCCCAAATGGCACCCTGTTCCCTACACAGTGTAATGCTTTTGACCAGAGCCCTCTGGTAGTGCACTATGTAAGGAATAGGGTGCCATTAGGGACTGAACCATTAACATGCATGTAGTCCTCCCTCCCTTCGAACGCCTGTACACTCCCTGAACCCTGAACCCTACCGCCTTAACCCCAACAGATGACCTCTGAACCTTTTTTAGGCTTTGATTGTATTTTTGGTGAGTCTGTCAGTGTGTAAACTCTCAATAAGTCAACTATTGAGAGGACATTGTATTCTGCCAAACGGGTAACTGATATAACTGAATGATTTCCAGTCATTAGCAGTTGTCTGTTCTAAGAGAGTATGTACTCTGTGTGTTTGTGACTGTTACTCGAGTGTATTAGAATAATTAGATTTTGTCTGTATTGCTGTCTGTTCTTTCACCAAGAGGACTGGAGTGAATGTACACATTTATGTTAAGTGACCTACACACATCAGCAATCAATTTGGAAATATATTCCAGTTACGAGATAGCACACTCACTGTAGCATGTTGCGATTGTCTTTCAATGAAAAGTGATTTATAAATTAAATGTATTTTTATTATTATTATTATGAAATGTATGGACACCTCAGTGTTAGAGCTATGTTCTAGATGGTATAGTCCAGGGTGACAGCATCAGTTTAGCATTTTCCCCACTAATGGTTAAGGCAGCGTTTCCCAAACTCGGTCCTGGGGACCCCAAGGGGTGCAAGTTTTGGTTTTTGCCCTAGCACTACACAGCTGATTTAAATAATCACCTCATCATTAAGCGTTGATTATTTGAATCAGTTGTGTAGTGCTAGGGCAAAAAACCAAAACGTGCACCCCTTGGGGTCCCCAGGACTGAGTTTGGGAAACGCTGGGTTAAGGTTAGGATTGGGGGAGGGGAAAGCTGATTCTAGATCTGTACCTAGGGGAAACAGGAGCATTCTAGACCAGACCTGTTCGACCTAAAACCCTGACCTCTAACCCTACCAGGTATGTCCCAGCAGCCTGATGGAGGGTTTGGGGGTCAGGCCACGCCCCAGAGTCCCCTGCTGTCCCCCAGGATGACCTACACCCAGTCTCCCATGATGCAACAGCAGGGCCAGGGCAACGCCACCTTCCAGGCCTCGCCTGACATGAATGGCTGGCCGCCCCAGGGCAACGTGGGAGGAAACAACAGGTGAGTGAGAAAGATGGGGGGACCACAGGGTTGGCTGTGGAAACCTGTACAGTAAAACTGTCCCAATAATCAGAGGTCAAAGAGAGAGAGCACGTAGAGAGCATGTCCTTATTACAATGTGTCTTATCAGACATCCAGTTGTCTGTGGATGTTAAGAATCTGTCTGTGAATATTAGTACTGAGCGATTAACCGTCATTTTATGTACAGTTTCTTTAGAGATAAATCAGATCAAGCCCGAACTATGTTAGTAGGGAGTTGTAGTTTCCAACAGGCCAATATTCTACATAGTTTAGCCCAGAAAACGTGCTAATGAACTACAATGACCATAATCCTTTGCGCACCTACTTGTCCGGTCTGTGTGGGGCAGACAGGGAGAGAAGAACGCGCGATGGAGAGCAGTTGCTTCGTGAGGTATCGCTATCTGAAAATACATGATCTAAGTGATTGATAGTTGGTATTCAGCAGTTATAAAAGTACGTCTTATTTACTTTGAAGAACTACTAAAATAGTGATTTAGTCAGATAGCATAGGCAGCAGCTCTGTAGAGATGAGATGATGACTTGGAATGAAATAATAAAGTCAGCAAATAAAACTAATGTAATATCCACAACAACTGAAATATCTTATTAAAGTAAAGTAAAGTGAATAAATGATGGTTAAGAAGTGATAATAATGGCCAGTCACTACCATCATGGGACTTTTATTAATAGTTGTATTCTGTGTTGTTACAGCATTCATCCCACATAATGCATAGTGCATTTCATGTTTAAAAAAATTATCGAAAACGAAAACCGTGGTTAATTTTTCATAATTGAACCGAAACCGAACCGACCTCAAAAAGCACTAATCGCTCAGCACTTGAATATCCAGGACAGCACAGATCAACTACCATATCTAGGCTTCAATAAACACCAAATTATGCATGATTATTTTCCATATACACTACCGTTCAAAAGTTTGGGGTTGCTTAGAAATGTCCTTGTTTTCGAAAGAAAAGCAATTTTTTTGTCCATTAAAATAACATCAAATTGATCAGAAATGCAGTGTAGACATTGTTAATGTTGTAAATGGCTATTGTAGCTGGAAACTGCTGATTTTTAATGGAATATCTACATAGGCATACAGAGGCCCAATATCAGCAACCATCAGTCCTGTGTTCCAATGGCACGTTGTGTTTGCTAATCCAGGTTTATCATTTTAAAAGGCTAATTGATCATTAGAAAACCCTTTTGCAATTATGTTAGCACAGCCGAAAACTGTTGTGCTGATTAAAGACGAAACTGAAGATCTCGTACAACGTTGTGTACTACTCCCTTCACAGAACAGCGCAAACTGGCTCTAACCAGAATAGAAAGAGGAGTGGGAGGCCCCGGTGCACAACTGAGCAAGAGGACAAATACATTAAAGTGTCTAGTTTGAGAAACAGACGCCTCATAGGTCCTCAACTGGCAGCTTCATTAAATAGTACCCGCAAAACACCAGTCTCAACGTCAACAGTGAAGAGGCGACTCCGGGATGCTGACCTTCTAGGCAGAGTTGCAAAGAAAAAGCCATATCTCAGACTGGCCAATAAAAATAAAAGATTAAGATGGGCAAAAGAACACAGACACTGGACAGAGGAAGATTGGAAAAAAGTGTTATGGACAGACAAATCGAAGTTTGAGGTGTTCGGATCACAAAGAAGAACATTTGTGAGACGCAGACCAAATGAAAAGATGTTGGAGGAGTGCTTGATGCCATCTGTCAAGCATGGTGGAGGCAATGTGATGGTCTGGGGGTGCTTTGGTGGTGGTAAAGTGGGAGATTTGTGCAGGGTAAAAGGGATCTTGAAGAAGGAAGGCTATCACTCCATTTTGCAACGCCATGCCATACCCTGTGGACGGCGCTTGATTGGAGTCAATTTCCTCCTACAACAGGACAATGACCCAAAGCACAGCTCCAAACTATTTAATAATTATTTAGGGAAGAAGCAGTCAGCTGGTATTCTGTCTATAATGGAGTGGCCAGCACAGTCACCGGATCTCAACCCTATTGAGCTGTTGTGGGAGTAGCTTGACCGTATGGTACGTAAGAAGTGCCCATCAAGCCAATCCAACTTGTGGGTGGTGCTTCAGGAAGCATGGGGTGAAATCTCTTCAGATTACCTCAACAAATTGACAACTAGAATGCCAAAGGTCTGCAAGGCTGTAATTGTTGCAAATGGAGTATTCTTTGATGAAAGCAAAGATTGGACACAATTATTATTTCAATTAAAAATCATTATTTCTAACCTTTTGAATGACTACATTTCCTATGCATTTTGCTATATTTCCTATTTAAACTCATTTAATGTATGTTTTCATGGAAAACAAGGACATTTCGAAGTGACCCCAAACTTTTGAACGGTAGTGTAGTTGAGTGTAAAACCCTTCTTTGGGTTATAAATGAAACTTGAGGCATAGTAATAAAATAGTTCAGGAACTCTCTTAGTAGAGTTTAAACATTTCTCTCTCTCTCTATATACTTAGTAGAGTTTAAAGCTAACCCTTCTCCTCTCATAAGATACCTTTCTTTATTTTTTAGTAAGCTTTAACCTTTCTTCTTCTTATATTAGTTTAAACCTTTTCTTCTTTATATTTAAGTTTAAACCTTTCTCTCTCTTATTAGTAGAGTTTAAACTTCTCTCTTTCTCTCTATATCTGTAGGTTTAAACTAACCTTCTCTCTCTCTATACTTAGTAGAGTTTAAAGCTAACCCTTCTCTCTCTCTATACTTAGTTAAATTTTTTTTTCTATATTTGTAGAGTTTTTAATTTTCCCTTCTTCTCTATATACTAGTAGAGTTAAACTTAACTTCTCTCTCTCTTCTATATTTAAACTCCTTCTCTCTTATTTATTAAAGCTACCCTCTCTCTCTCTATACTGTAGAGTTTTAAACTTCCTCTCTTATCTCTATGTATGAGTTTTAATAATTTTTCTTTTTTTATAGTTTAAAGTAACCCTTCTCTCTCTCTCTATACTTAGTAGAGTTTAATTTTTTTTTTAAGCTAACCTTCTCTCTCTTTATAACTTAGTTAGAGTTGAAAGTTAAGTCTCCTTTTTAGTAAGTTTAAAGCAACCTTCTCTCTCTCTATACTATTTAGAGTTTAAAAAGCTACCCTCCCTTCTTACAGTAGAGAGAGTAAAGCTACGCTATCGCCTATATGAGTAGTAAGGAAAGCAACCCATAACGAAAAAACTATAGGAAGAGAAAGAATAAAGAGAGAGAAAGAAGAAGGAGAGAAGAAAGAAAGAAGAGAAGAGAGAGAAGGAGAGAAAGAGATAGACGAGAGATAACCAAAAAGCGAGCGAGGAGAGCGATGAGCGAGAGAGAAGGATAGAGCGAGAGAGAAGAGAGAGAGAGAGAGAGGACGAGAGCGAGAGATAGACGAGAAAGCGAAGAGAGAGAGCGAGAGAGAGAGGAGAGAGAGAGAGAGAGAGAGAGAAAAAGCCATTCGGCTATCGTATTTTCGAGTATCGGAAGATCGTTTCTCTAACCCTCTGCACTCTTCCACACCCCACTCTCTCGCCCCTCTCTCTCTATCTCTCTCCCTCTCTCTCTCTCTCTCTCTCTCTCTCCCCCTCCTTCCTCCAGTATGTTCAGTACTCAGCAGTCTCCGCCTCAGTTTGCCCAGCAGCAGCAGACCAATGGGGGCGCAGCCATGTACAACGGCAACGGAATGAACCTCAACGTCTCCATGGCTACCAACGCCAGCGGCATGGCCGCAGCGGGTCAGATGGCCGGGACAGATGAGCGTCACCTCACCTGGGATGACCTCAATGGGACAGGAACAGGTAAGATACATGGACGGGATGAACTTTAATATCCCGGAGGGCAGAATTGTCTTAGACACACAGTACTGCTGTATATAAAATACACTTCTGTTTCATTACACACTAGACATAAATACATTGCACGTATGAGATACATAACCATACTTAAGTATACATAGTGTTTATATGCACGTGAATGACCTCTGAACTCTGGACCAGGTCAAATACATAGACATACACACAGCGGACAGTTTATTAGGTACGTCACCCCGTTTGCGGAAATTGATCGCTCCTACGGACAGTGGGTCAGGTGGCCGTGGCTTGCTATATAAAGCAGGCAGACAGGCATCGAGGCATTCAGTTACTGTTCTATTGAACGTTAGAGTGGGCAAAACGAGTGACCTAAGCAACTTTGAGCGTGGTATGATCATCGGTGCCAGGGAGAAGCAGTGTCTAGGGTTTCCCGAGAATGGTGCGACAAACAAACATCCAGTCAGCGGCAGACCTGTGGGCGAAAACAGCTCGTTGATGAGATGAGAGAAGTCGAAGGAGGACGGCATGAATCGTGCAAGCTAACAGGCGGGCCCCAAACAGACAAATAATGGTGCGGAACGGCATCTCGGAACGCACAACTTGTCGATCCTTGTCTCTGATTGGCTGTTGCAGCAGACGACCTCACCGGGTTCCACTCCTATCAGCTAAAAAAACAAGAAGAAGCGTCTCCAGTGGGCACGCCATCACCAACACTGGGGCAATTGAGGAGTGGAAAAACATCGAATGGAACATAACAGCGAGTTCAGTTTACTTGAGTGGCCTGTCGCAGTCCCCAGACCTCAACCCAATAGAGCATCTTTGGGATGAGATGGAACGGGCTGTTCACAGCATGAATGTACCGCCGTCCAATCTGCAGCAGCTGCGTGATGCCATCGCATCAGCATGGACCAACATCCCTGTGGAACGTTTCTGACACCTTGTAGAATGTCCCGAAGAATTCAGGCTGTTCTGGAGGTAAAGGGGGGGTCCGACTCCGTACCAGATGGGTGTACCTATTAAACTGGAGGCAAATGGGGGGGTCAGACTCCGTACCAGATGGGTGTACCTATTAAACTGGAGGCAAATGGGGGGGTCAGACTCCGTACATTTACATTTTACATTTTAGTCATTTACGCAGACGCTCTTATCCAGAGCGACTTACAGTTAGTGAATACATATTTTTTTTATACTGGCCCCCCGTGGGAATCGAACCCACAACCCTGGCGTTGCAAACGCCATGCTCTATCAACTGAGCTACATCCCTGCCGGCCATTCCCTCCCCTACCCTGGACGACGCTGGGCCAATTGTGCGCCGCCCATGAGTCTCCCGGTCGCGGCCGGCGGCGACAGAGCCTGGATTCGAACCAGGATCTCTAGTGGCACAGTTAGCACTGCGATGCAGTGCCTTAGACCACTGCGCCACTCAGGAGTACTGGGTGGGTGTACCTATTGGGTGTACCTATTAAACTGTGTGCATAACATACATAAGCATACAAACTAGCCTAGTATTTACAAGCCCCTGCATGGCCTCTGGGCCCTCACCTGGGAGGAGTAACCATTCATAAAGAGGTTATAACTGTTCATAAACATATACATGGTTTGTAACTCCTATAGGACTTCACGGTAGTGATGTATGTAAATATTTAAGTATACATATACTCATACACACAATATTAGGGGTCTAATAAGGGTGCAGTAGAACTCCGTGACCCCTGAGCAGACCACCGTGAGTAGACCTGTCATGACGGGGCGGCAGGTAGCTTAGTGGTTAAGAGCGTTGTGCCAGTAACCGAAAGGTCGCTGGTTCTAATCCCCGAGCCGACTACGTGAAAAATGTGTCGATGTGCCCTTGAGCAAGGCACTTAACCCTAATTGCTACTGTAAGTCGCTCTGGATAAGAGCGTCTGCTAAATGACCAAAATGTGAAAGAAAAAAAAAATGTAAATGTGATAAACCTCTACAGAACAAGTCAAACTCACAACTTTCCCAGAATCCCTCTGAACTTTCCCAGAAGCCCTCTGAAACACACGGAATGGAGCCCGTAGGAGCTTGTAGCAGTTAACCATCGTATGGGATAAAAGCTTTGTATTTTTTTTTTTTACTTTACCCCATTCCAAGTAGTCATTATGCCTTACAGCAAGGCCCTAAGTGTCTGGGTAATGGGTACATGCACTTCATTGAGCCCCTTCTCCCTACGACTCATCTAGTGAATAATTTAGATCTAATGTAGCTGTATGATGTAGTACGGCTAGCTAGTTATGGGGCATGACCCGGACTGAGAAGTAGACAATGTTATATCGTAATTAGTAGTGTGTACATGTGTATGTACAGGTAACTGACAAAATAAAGGAAACACTTGAGTAAATGAGGGATACAAAGTATATTGAAAGCAGGTGCTTCCACACAGGTTGTGGAATTAACATCCCATCATGCTTAGGGTCACGTATAAAAACGCTGGGCAGGCCCAGTTGCCCATTTTGTTTTGGCTGCCATGGCTAGAAGAAGAGGTCTCAGTGACTTTGAAATAAGGGTGATTGTTGGGGCACGTTTGGCAGGAGCTTCAGTGATGAAGACTCTCATAATAAGCCACTAATGGGAGATTCTCTAGCGGGGCTTGAGATAGCGTTTTCCACCACCATCAACAAAACACTCAATTATAGAAATTTCTCGTCGAAGAATGGTGTCGCATCCCTCCCTTAGAGTTCCAGACACGTGTAGAAGCTATGCCAAGGCTCATTGAAGCTGTTCTGGTGCCTTGTGGTGGCTTAACACCTTATTAAGACACATTAGTGGTGTTTCCTTTATTTTGGCAGTTACTTGTATGTGTGTTTAGCAGGGAGAGAGGAGGGGCTTCTGGTCTGATAAGAGGCCCTGGGGCCAGACTGTTAAAGTCTGCTAAATAAAACAACTCTCTGATGGACTTGGAAGTCCCAACGGAGCTGTCCTTTTTAGAACACAGCTGCATCCCAAATGGCATCATGTTCCCTGTAGTGTCTTAGATTTGACCAGGGCCCCCTTCCTATGAAACACACACACAGTCAAGACACCCTTCTCCCCTGCAAAACACACACACACACACACACACACACACACACACACACACACACACCCTTCACCAGTCTACTCAGACAACAGTAAGTGGATGATGTCGTGGTAAATGCCATGCACCGTCAGCATTCCATTACTGGGGAACAACATTCATTTTGTGACGTCAATGTGGTATTTATTAATGTCTCTTCTCTCATTCTCTCATTGTGTCATCGGTCTAGTAAAGAGGTGGTATGTGATGTTGTTGCTTTTAAGCCTAATAACCCAGTATGAATATTTAACCAAGCAGCAGCAGTTCGATTGTCTGTGAGCACTTCGGGCTGTTGCTATATGTTTAAAGCTACTGCTATACGCGTCACTTGATTGATTCCCACGCCACGCTATCGAAATTATACCGGCACTTAAATTATGTAAATTATTCAAACCGTTGACCATTAGTGCGATTTAGAGGTGATTATTTTTACTCACTCTTTGTAGGTTTGTTCTTTTATAATCTGTTCTTCAAGGGTGTTTTCACACTTGGTCTCTTTCAGCCAATTTATGTGAACTCTGTTCGCTTAATTTTTTTGTGCAGTGTGAACTCTCCAAAGGAACTCAGACCCCTTCAAAAGAGCCCCCCGAAGCAAACCGAACTGAGACCATCTCAAGAGGTGGTCTGAGTTTGGTTCGCTTGAATTTCCGGGGTCTGATTCCCTTTTTTAGGGCACTGTGAACCTAAAGCTCCCCAGGTTAGCTTGTCATTATTTACGCAACGCCTCAGACTACTGCAACACCGTTTCCCCTGACATAACTCCTCACATTGGTGCCACAAAAGAGAGATGATGCGCAGGTTTTGCCGAAATAAAACGTGCTGTTTTGATTTGCACAAAAAATTCAAAAATATGTGTGTTTTTAGTTCAGATTATTTGTTTGCAATATGTGATCTATAGGCTAAGAGAGCTTCATAAGCTGTTTATTCAATTGTGGGGTTTGAATAGTGTGAGAAGACACCAATATATTTGGTGAGAATCACAACATTGGGTACAAAATCAATTCTAGCTCCTAAAGGGGCAGTAGCCTACATTGGTTGTACAATTTTCAATTACGTCTTATTTAATCTCCAGTTATTCTTCTGCTATTTATTCTGTTACCAGTAATATTTACATTTACATTTACATTTTAGTCATTTAGCAGACGCTCTTATCCAGAGCGACTTAGTTAGTGAGTGCATACATTTACATGTTAATATCGTCTGATTACAATTATTATGTCTCATCTTTTAACTAAATGCAATCTATTAGCTTCCAAAATGTACGAAGGTATATCTAGCTGTCCGATAACACGTTCTGATGGAATGGCTTGTCCTGCACTTTGTAAAAACCCAGAGTGCATTGAGTAAATGTTAGCAATGTGTATACAAACATGACTCCGACCACAGAATAGAGGAAGTGAACTGACAGAAAGAGTTGAGTCCTCATCCAAAGGCAAGGACAGTGTGAATACAAAGAGAACTCAGTTATTTAGCTTTTTTCTTCACCCCAAAGTTCACTTTAAAGAGGACTGAGATGGGTTATTTTTAAAGAGGACTATATGTGAAAACACCCTAAGATGGTCACCACTTGCTCAACTGTCTGGGGAGGTCTGTCTGAAATTGGTCCAGCTTGGTTTTTAGCATCCACTGCCCTTTATTTTAGCAGTAGCGGTGAGAGACATTCTTGACCATTGCTACTCTCCCTTCTGGGACAGCTACAAGGCCCTTCCCCACCCTCCCTTTGGGAAATCTGACCACGCCTCTATCCTGCTTCTCCCTACCTATAGGCAGAAACTTAAACTCTGTACAAACAGACCAACTATGATCGCCGTAAGGCAATCAAAGTGGCAAAACATCAGTACAGAGACAAAGTGGAGTCACAATTCAATGGCTCAGACACAAGACGTATGTGGCAGGAACTCCAGACAATCATGGAAAATAAAGTGAAAACCAGCCACGTTGCGGACACAGACGCCTCGCTTCCGGACAAGCTAAACGCCTTCGCCCGCTTCGAGGGAAACAAGACAGGCCTCGCGGACACTGGCCGCTCCCGAGGACTCAGTGGCCGACCATAAGACATTTTAAGCGTGTTAACCCTCGCATGGCCTGCCTGCCCAGACGGCATCCCAAGCCGCGTCCTCAGAGCATGCACGAACCAGCTGGCTGGAGTGTTTACGGACATATTCAATCTCTCACTATCCCAGTCTGTTGTCCCCACTTGCTTCAAGGTCAAGTCCACCATAGTTCCTTTACCCAAGAAAGTGAAGGTAACTGAACTAAATGACTATCGCCCATCACGTCTGTAATCATGAAGTGCTTTGATAGGCTAGTTAAGGACCATATCACCTCCATCTTACCTGACACCGTAGACTGAGTTCAGTTTGCATACTGCTCCAACAGATCCACAGACAACGCAATTAACATTCCACTGCACACAGCCCTATCCCACCTGGACAAGAGGAATACCTATGTAAGAATGCTGTTCATCGACTACAGCTCAGCCTTCAACACCATAGTGCCCTCCAAGCTCACCACTAAGCTCGGAGCCCTGGGTCTGAACCCCCTCTCTGTGCAACTGGGTCCTGGACTTCCTGACTGGCTGACCCCAGATGAAGGAATGCAGCAACACCTCCGCCACGCTGATCCTCAACACGGGGGCACCACAAGGGTGCGTGCCCAGCCCTCTCCTGTACTCCCTGTTCACCCATGACTGCGTGACGACACAACAGTTTGCTGACGACACAACAGTGGTAGGCCTGATTACCAACAGTGACGAGACAGCCTACAGGGAGGTGAGAGCCCTGGCGGGGTGGTGCCAGGAAAATAACCTCTCCCTCAACGTCAACAAAACCAAGGAGCTGATCATGGACTACAGGAGACAGCAGAGGGAGCACGCCCCCATCCACATTGAAAGTTTCAAGTTCCTCTGCATGCACCTCACTTACGACCTGAAATGGACTGATAAACAGCTTCTATCTCCAGGCCATCAGAATGTTAACCAGTCACCACTAGCCGGCCTCTGCCCAGTACCCTGCCCTGAACCTTAGACACTGTCACTAGCTGACTGCCGGTTTTAGAGACCATTCAGCACCACTTTTTAACCCCTCCTGCACATATTGTTACAAACTGTCTTTCTATTTGTTCAAATAAACTAAACTAAACTAGCCGGCTAACTAGTACTCTACCCTGCCCCTTAGAGGCTTCTACCCGCTAGTGGACAGTGCCTTCGGAAAGTTTTCAGACCCCTTTACTTTTTCCACATTTTGTTACGTTACAGCCTTATTCTAAAATGTATTAAACACATTTTTTTTCTCATCAATCTACACACAATACCCCATAATGACAGTGAAAACAGGTTTTAAACAATTTTTTCAAATTTAGTATAAAAAAAAAGTGACCTAAGCGACTTTGAGCGTGGTATGATCGTCAGTGCCTGGTACGCCGGGTCCAGTATCTCAGTAACGGCGTGGCCTCCTGGGATTTTCACGCACGACAGTGTCTAGGGTTTACCGAGAATGGTGCGACAAACAAAAAACATCCAGTCAGCGGCAGTCCTGTGGGCGAAAACAGCTCGTTGATGAAAGGTCGAAGGAGAATGGCAAGAAATCGTGCAAGCTATAACAGGCGGGCCACAAACAGGCAAATTACGGCGCAGTACAACAGTGGAACGCACAACTCGTCGATCCTTGTCTCTGATTGGCTGTTGCAGCAGACGACCTCACCGGGTTCCACTCCTATCAGCTAAAAACAAGAAGAAGCGGCTCCAGTGGGCACGCCATCACCAAGACTGGACAACTGAGGAGTGGAAAAACATTGCCTGGTCAGACGAATCCCGGTTCCTGTTGTAAATTCTATCCATTTTGTTATGGGGTTTTGTACTTGATTGTCTTGACATAGCTTTTTCTAATATTTTTAAATTTTAAATTTTGCAGGATGAAATCTCTTGATGCACCATCTCATTTTCAAGAGTGTCCAAATAAAAAAAACGAATATATGTACTTAGTAACAATCATGATATGGCAACTACGGTCTGATAATAACAACAATGAAATAATAATAATAATAATACTTTTTAAAAATGTACATTAACAGCATTAAAAGGTTTTGTACAACTACTAATACTGTCGGCCTACAACTAATAAAAACTACTGCTACAACTGCTAATACAACCAATAAATATACTGTTGCAACTATAAATACAACTAATTACCTATAATACACTGAGTGTACAAAACTCAAGCTCAAAATGTGGAAAAAGGTGAAGGGGTCTGAATACTTTCCGAATGCACTGTATCAGATTATTGTTCCCATTCTTGCTGAGGGGATAACTATCAGGTCATGTATACCTAGCATTGATGGAATTTGAGGGTGAAATTATTGAGGTACCAGATGAGCTTATAGATGATGCTGATTTAACATCAGCTATATCTGCCGGCTCTTGGATGACACTGACATGTAGGATTATTTGCTGAATAGGTTGATTATTTGACCTATTTAAAAGGTCATTTGTGTATTTCCAGAACTGCTGTTAATTTTCTTCTTTTTTTTTTTTTGTAAGACTATCCATATGGAAGGAGGCTTTTGCATTTCTAGTTTTAGTTTTACTGGCATTTCATAATTTTCTATAGGACTCCCAATCAGTTGGATCTTTGGTTCTACAGTACTTAGCCCCGGGCTTTATCCCTTTCTCTGTACTGATGTATTAAGGCAGAGCTAACCCAGGGCAGGGGACGGCCCCTTGACTTTCACTGTTCTCCAAGGTGCATTTTTATCACATACCTTTTGTGAATTCAGTGACAAAGTAATCCCATGCATTTTGGTCTGTTGGGATTACTTGGAATATTTGCCAGTTTATGGATATCAAGTCTTCAATTAAATAATCAATATTTAAATTTGTACATTGTCTTAAATTAATCTATTTGGGTGGATTTTTTTATCCTGTCAGGACATGTCACCAAGCGCCAATCCAGCAAAGTCCCATTATGAGTTTGTTGATTGACTCTCATTGGTTCTTTAATGAATTTAGTAAAATAGATGCCTGGGGTTTACCCTGGATGTTACTGTAGGATAAATGTCCCTCTGGATAGATGGCTGGTGTTTACCCTGGATGTTACTGTAGGATAACTGTCCCTCTGGGTAGATGGCTGGGGTTTACCCTGGATTTTACTGTAAGATAACTGTCCCTCTGGGTAGATGGCTGGGGTTTACCCTGGATTTTACTGTAAGATAACTGTCCCTCTGGGTAGATGGCTGGGGTTTACCCTGGATGTTACTGTAGGATAAATGTCCCTCTGGGTAGATGGCTGGTGTTTACCCTGGATGTTACTGTAAGATAGCTGTCTCTCTGGATAGATGGCTGGTGTTTACCCTGGATGTTACTGTAAGATAGCTGTCCCTCTGGGTAGATGGCTGGAGTTTACCCTGGATGTCACTGTAGTATAACTTGATTTGATTAATAATGAAGACACAATATGTTTTTCTATTGGGTGATTACAACATACATGTATTTAAAAGTGAGAACCACTCACTCACTGACATCTGACTTTTGGAATAATTTATACTCCAGCTATCTGTATCACTCATCTATAAGCCTACAAGAGTGACCAGTTCATCTGCCACCCTTATTGATAATATTTTTACAAATTCTTTGAATAATGTGGCTAATACAGGTCAATTCCAAGAATCCTCAAATAATATAAAGTCAACTTGGAAAATCATCAATCAACTGTTAAATAAGAAAAAGGCATCTCCAACTATCCCATTTCAATTTACTGTTAGAAATAAGACCTATAGTGATCCTGATGTTATTTCATGTGAATTTAATAACTTTTCTGTCAAAATTATTTTGAAAACTGATCTAAATCCCTTGGATTACATTAAGGAACATTTCCCTTCTCTGCTTCAGTTTGATCCTCCTGATGTGATGGAGGTGATGGAGGTCATTGGGTGCCTTTCTGCAGAAGGGACTGGTGCACTTCACAAAATAGATGGCATCATGAGGAAGGAAAATTATGTAGATATATCTCAAGACCTCAGTCAGGAAGTTAAAGCTTGGTCGCAAATGGGTCTTCCAAATGGACAATGACCCCAAGCATACTTCCAAAGTTGTAGCAAAATGGCTTAAGGACAACAAAGTCAAGGTATTGGAGTGGCCATCACAAAGCCCTGACCTCAATCCTATAGAACATTTCTGGGCAGAACTGAAAAAGTGTGTGCGAGCAAGGATGCCTACAAACCTGACTCCATTACACCAGCTCTGTCAGGAGGAATGGGCCAAAATTCACCCAACTTATTGTGGGAAGCTTGTGGAAGGCTACCCGAAACGTTTGACCCAAGTTAAACAATTTAAAGGCAATGCTACCAAATACTAATTGAGTGCATGTAAACGTCTGACCCACTGGGAATGTGATGAAATAAATTAAAGCTGAAATAAATCATTCTCTCTACTATTATTCTGACATTTCACATTCTTAAAATAAAGTGGTGATCCTAACTGACCTCAGACAGGGAATTTTTACAAGGATTAAATGTCAGGAATTCTGAAAAACTGAGTTTAAAGGTATTTGGCTAAGGTGTATGTAAACTTCCGACTTCAACTACCATTCAAAGGTTTGGGGTCACTTAGAAATGTCCTTGTTTTCTATGAAAACATACATTAAATGAGTTTCAATAGGAAATATGGCCAAATGAATAGGAAATGTAGTCATTGAGAAGGTTATAAATAATGATTTTTAATTGAAATAATAATTGTGTCCTTCAAACTTTTGTCAAAGAATCCTCCATTTGCAACAATTACAGCCTTGCAGACCTTTGGCATTCTAGTTGTCAAATTGTTGAGGTAATCTGAAGAGATTTCACCCCATGCTTCCTGAAGCACCTCCCACAAGTTGGATTGGCTTGATTGGCACTTCTTACGTACCATACGGTCAAGCTGCTCCCACAACAGCTCAATAGGGTTGAGATCCGATGACTGTGCTGGCCACTCCATTATAGACAGAATACCAGCTGACTGCTTCTTCCCTAAATAGTTATTGCATAGTTTGGAGCTGTGCTTTGGGTTATTGTCCTGTTGTAGGAGGAAATTGACTCCAATCAAATGCCGTCCACAGGGTATGGCATGGTGTTGCAAAATGGAGTGATAGCCTTCCTTCTTCAAGATCCCTTTTACCCTGTACAAATCTCCCACTTTACCACCACCAAAGCACCCCCAGACCATCACATTGCCTCCACCATGCTTGACAGATGGCATCAAGCACTCCTCCAGCATCTTTTCATTTACTCTGCGTCTCACAAATGTTCTTCTTTGTGATCCGAACACAAAGATCTCAAACATTGTCTGTCCATAACATTTTTTTCCCAATCTTCCTCTGTCCAGTGTCTGTTCTTTTGCCCATCTTAATCTTTTCTTTTTATTGGCCAGTCTGAGATATAGCTTTTTCTTTGCAACTCTGCCTAGAAGGTCAGCATCCCGGAGTCGCCTCTTCTGGTGTTTTGCAAGTACTTTTAATGAAGCTGCCAGTTGAGGACCTGTGAGGCGTCTGTTTCTCAATCTAGACACTAATGTATTTGTCCTCTTGCTCAGTTGTGCACCGGGGCCTCCCACTACTCTTTCTATTCTGGTTAGAGCCAGTTTGCGCTGTTCTGTGAAGGGAGTAGTACACAGCGTTGTACGAGATCTTCAGTTTCTTGGCAATTTCTCGCATGGAAAAGCCTTCATTACTCAGAACAAGAATAGACTGACGAGTTTCAGAAGAAAGTTCTTTGTTTCTGGCCATTTTGAGCCTGTAATCGAACCCACAATTGCTGATGCTCCAGATACTCAACTAGTCTCAAGAAGGCCAGTTTTATTGCTTCTTTAATCAGCACAACAGTTTTCAGCTGTGCTAACATAATTGCAAAAGGGTTTTCTAATGATCAATTAGCCTTTTAAAATGATGAACTTGGATTAGCAAACACAACGTGCCATTGGAACACAGGACAAGAGGAATACCTATGTAAGAATGCTGTTCATTGACTATAGCTCAGCATTCAACACCATAGTACCTTCCAAGCTCATTATTAAGCTCGAGGCCCTGGGTCTGAACCCCGCCCTTCCTGTGCAACTGGGTCCTGGACTTCCTGACGGGCCGCCCCCAGGTGGTGAAGGTAGGAAACAACATCTCCACTTCGCTGATCCTCAACACTGGGGCCCCACAAGGGTGCGTGCTCAGCCCCCTCCTGTACTCCCTGTTCACCCATGACTGCGTGGCCAAGCACGCCTCCAACTCAATCATCAAGTTTGCAGACGACACAAGAGACCGCCTACAGGGAGGAGGTGAGGGCTCTGGGAGTGTGGTACCAGGAAAATAACCTCTCACTCCACATCAACAAAACAAAGGAGATGATCGTGGACTTCAGGAAACAGCAGAGGGTGCACCCCCCTATCCACATCGACGGGACTGCAGTGGAGAAGGTGGAAAGCTTCAAGTTCCTTGGCGTACACATCACTGACAAACTGAAATGGTCCACCCACGCAGACAGTGTGGTGAAGAAGGCGGAACAGAGCCTGTTCAACCTCAGGAGACTGAAGAAATTTGGCTTATCACCTAAAACCCTCACAAACTTTTACAGATGCACAATTGAGAGCATCTTATCGGGCTGTATCACCGCCTGGTACGGCAACTGCACCGCCCACAACCGCAGGGCTCTCCAGAGAGTGGTGCGGTCTGCCGAACGCATTACCGGGGGCAAACTACCCGCCCTCCAAGACACATACAGCACCCGATGTCACAGGAAGGCCAAAAAGATCATCAAGGACATCAACCACCCGAGCCACTGCCTGTTCACCCCGCTATCATCCAGAAGGCGAGGTCAGTACAGGTGCATCAAAGCTGGGACCGAGAGAATGAAAAACAGCTTCTATCTCAAGGCCATCAGACCATTAAACAGCCATCACTAGCACATTAGAGACTGCTGCTGCCTATTGAAATCACTGGCCACTTTAAGAAATGGAACACTAGTCACTTTAATAATGTTTACATATCTTGTACTACATTTTACATTTTAGTCATTTAGCAGACGCTCTTATCCAGAGCAACTTACAGTTAGTGAGTGCATAATTTTTTTTTCATACTGGCCCCCCGTGGGAATCGAACCCACAACCCTGCCGTTGCAAACGCCATGCTCTACCAACTGAGCTACACGGGACTACTCATCTCATATGTATATACTATGTATATACTGTATTCTATAATATTCTACTGTATCTTAGTCCATGCCGCTCTGTCATTGCTTGTCCATATATGTATATATTCTTAAATTCCATTCCTTACTAGATTTGTGTGTATTGGGTATATGCTGTGAAATTGTTAGATATTACTTGTTAGATATTACTGCACTGTCGGAGCTAGAAGCACAAGCATTTCGCTACACCCGCAATAACATCTGCTAAACACGTGTATGTGACAAATACAATTTGATTTGATTTGCTGATAATGGGCCTCTGTACGCCTATGTAGATATTCCATTAAAAATCAGCAGTTTCCAGCTACAATAGCCATTTACAACATTAACAATGTCTACACTGCATTTCTGATCAATTTGATGTTATTTTAATGGACAAAAAAAATGCTTTTCTTTCGCAAACAAGGACATTTCTAAGTGACCCCAAACTTTTGAACGGTGGTGTATGTTGAAGAGGGTGTGGCTCAAGCTGCATCCGTCTCACCCCACGACCCTGTGGAAAGAAATGTGTGTACACTTGTTGTTTGTGTACATGGATTTTATAATGTCGTATGTTTTTCCCCCAACCCCACTTTCCATCAATTTGTATAGCAGACCCTCATGCCAAATTGAGTCAAAAGATTTTTTGAAGTCAACAAAGCATGATAAGACTTAGCCTTTTGTTTTGGTTTTGTTTGTTTGTCAATTAGGGTGTGCAGGGTGAATACGTGGTCTGTCGTACGGTAATTTGGTAAAAAGCCAATGTGACATTTGCTCAGTACATTGTTTTCACTGAGGAAATGTATGAGTCTGCTGTTAATGATATTGCAGAGGATTCAACTGACGTAGGTACGAATAGATTACAGTCGAAGTACTGATACAGTGTTAATTGGGTTGTTCATTGGATTCGTTAAGACAGTTCTTAATTTAATTTTACTTTTTGGATTTCGCTGCACCTGCGATAATGTCTGCAAATCTTGTACGCGACCAATAAACTTTTATTTGATTTGACTTTACGCACTTGAACTAAACATGTTTTAAAGACGTTTTCCTCAACTACCTCAACTAGCCGGTGCCCCCGCACATTGACTCTGCAACGGTACCCCCCTGTATATATAGCCTCCCTACTGTTATTTTATTTTACTTCTGCTCTTTTTTTCTCAAACTTTTTTGTTGTTGTTTTATTTTTACTTTTTTTTGTTAAAAAATAAATGCACTGTTGGTTAAGGGCTGTAAGTAAGCATTTCACTGTAATGTCTGCACCTGTTGTATTCGGCGCATGTGACCAATAAAATTTGATTTGATTAGATTAGATTTTCCAGCGAATATTGAACTTTTACTGTTGACAAGCGATATCTGAGTGTTTGCGTATGTAAAATGTATGTGAAATATATTTAAATGTGAAATATGTGTTAAATGTGTCTGAATCTGAAACAACTCTCTCTCTTTTTGTCTTCATCTGTTGACAGAAATACTGCTGACCCTGTTGGAGCGTTCAGCCAACCAGGACCTTGATGCTAACGCCCAGGATCCAATGAGCTCGCTGGTTCATCTTCAACCACCCAACCAATCTATCAACGGCCCCTTGAGTCACCCTGGCAGTGCCCTGACCCAGCTCTGCCCAGCCAAGCCTGACCTCTGACCTCACCCACCTGGCATAAACTGTGCCTCAGAACTATTCCTACTGGGGGGGGGGGGGCGGCTCACCCAGGACCTAGGGATCAAGGGGGAAGTGGGGGATGGAGGCAAGATTTTACTTTTTGATGTGTCCCAAATGGCACCCTATTCCCTATATAGTGCGCTACTTGTGACTGGAGCCCAGGTCGAAAGTAGCGCGCCACACAGGGAAGAGGGAGGCAACCCTAAAACGCCTAACCCCTCCCTAAAGGAGAACCCGTGAGCCAGGCTGTCTCTGTCCAGCTGCATTCGCCGTAGTGTGACTTACTGTAGGCCCATTCCCCTCTATTGTAGGTCCCTCCCCCTCTGGGTTGATTGACTGTAGGCCCCTCCCAATTTGCCTGGAGGCCCCATGTTGGTCCGCCCCCTCTGGGTAGGCCCCTCCCCCTCTGGGTTGACTGACTGAGTACTGGTGGCAGCGGTGGGATCCTCGTCAGATGAATGTATTCCTCTCAGTGGACAGCGGCCATTTTGCAATCTCATCTCAAACAATTTACACTTTTTTTTATTGTTTTCTTCTCCGCCCCTGATCCCCCTCTTCTTCTGGTTCCTCTGATGTTCTAGAACATTCCTCATGTTCTACGTTCCACGATGGCATCAAACTGACTCCAAGTTAAATTTTGGATTCTGGAGGACATCGGAGGGAGCGGAGGACATCGGAGGGAGCTGAGCAGCGAACTAATTTCAGCCGTTTTTGCCTTTTTGCTGTTTGTTTTTGTTTACCTGATGATGATGATGATGATGACTACAGATGTAGGATGAAGACAGATGGTTTTAAAAAACACTGCAGATGAATGGTTTGACTTAAATAATGCTTTGTATGATTATTAGACTAATTTAGTCAAGAGGTTTATAGTGTATTAAATTAAGTTTAATTTTTCTGTATGGGATCTTTTAATTATTTTAGATTTCTTTATTATTATCGTAGCAAACAACAGAAGATTATTTCTAAAGCGGTGAACGTGTCTTAATAGACAGTTAAACTCTTTTCTGAAAAGACTACTACATCCTATCACATTGAAATATTATGGATTTGACTTTTGGTTCAGTAGTTTCGTCAGAAGCTGTTGAATTACATCACGTGGTTCAAGACAACAGAAACAGACAGATGGTGCATACTGTACCAGTTAACAGCAGACCTCCCTTTCCTATTTATTTGGGAGTTTCTCCTCGTTCTCCCCGTCTGGTCTCGACTGCCTCTGCTAGAAAAAGAAAAGCGGAGCGGTGTTTTGCGTGTTTGTTTGAGGAGAGGAGAGTCTGACCTTGTCAAGAGTCGTTGATACGGTACAGGAGGGGAGTGGGGGGGGTGGGTGGGTTCAGACCCTTTGCCCAGGGTCTAGTGAGGGGTGTAGGTAGGGGAGGGGAGGGGGGTGGGGTGGGGGGCTGTGTATACAGTGTACAGATTATCGCTTGCTTCTCAGCCTTGAGCGTATAGCTAGCTAGCTAGCGCCACGATAGAAAGATCGGGGGACAAACTGCTCTGGTTCCTCAGTGTGATGTACTTAAACAAGCAATAACGATTACTAGAGAATCTTTAGTTGCTGTTTTTATTTTTTGTTGTTGTTGTTTTTTTTGTAGTTTTTTGTACAGATTTTTTCCCCTGGAGGCACATTTTATGCTCTGCGGTCCGTCGGAGATTAAAACACAGCTACTTTTTTTTTTATTGCAGTTTGTATTAAAAATCTCTCTAATCCAAATGATACGTTCGTGGCAGATTATGCAGCAGCACTGTCTTGGGTGTAGAGACGGGAGGGAGTTGGTGGTGAACCTTACTAACCCTCATATTAAAACACACGATGCATCCCAAATGGAACACTATTCCCTACGTACTTTTAACCAGAGCCCTCTGGCATCATATTCCCTCACCCAACCATAACGGGTATGTTGACCATTCCTCTATGGACCCTGTGTGCACTATATAGGGAATAGGGTGCCGTTTGGGATTCTGCCATCCCCTCTCTGACTAGAGCCACAGGTTAGACAGAGACCTATAGGGCCCTGATCCAATTCTTCAATGATGTATCCTTCCTTCTTTTCCTTCGTTCCTTTAAGTGGTCACTTGGTATGCCATGGCTGGATAGGTGACACGTATGTAATGGACTGTGTCCCAGTTGGTTGGTGGATGGTGCTTGCAACTTCAAGGGTTGTGGGTTTGATTCTGGCTCAGCGGGGGACACTTTCTCGTTTTGGATAAATGATCATATTATGTTAAATCTAAGTAAGTAGGTTTAGCTTCTGTTAGATCTGACCAGAGATACATTCATGGAAAGGAAGAATGCATGTTAGAAGTATTGTATCAGGATCTTGGTATGTCACCCTGCTCTGGTAGACAGACAGTGAATTAGCCATAGTGTTTGAACTTTGACCTCAGGCAGTAAAACTATATAATAACCAGATCCATTTCCAATCATATTCCCTCTCCCTGTAACAGGTATAATGACATCATATTCCCTCTCCCTGTAACAGGTATAATGACATCATATTCCCTCTCCCCTGTAACAGGTATAATGACATCATATTCCCTCGCCCCTCTAACAGGTATAATGACATCATATTCCCTCGCCCCTGTAACAGGTATAATGACATCATATTCCCTCGCCCCTGTAACAGGTATAATGACATCATATTCCCTCGCCCCTGTAACAGGTATAATGACATCATATTCCCTCGCCCCTCTAACAGGTATAATGACATCATATTCCCTCGCCCCTGTAACAGGTATAATGACATCAAATTCCCTCGCCCCTGTAACAGGTATAATGACATCATATTCCCTCGCCCCTGTAACAGGTATAATGACATCATATTCCCTCGCCCCTGTAACAGGTATAATGACATCATATTCCCTCGCCCCTGTAACAGGTACGGTCACTTCAGATCCTTTGTTGCATCAAAGGCAAAGTCACAGGCAGACCTCATAACTACATCTTTCCTCCAGGTCCCGTATGTTTGTGTTCTTGCATACTCCATTACTGTCATTGTCAACTCAACTTGGCATGACAATTAGTGACAATGAGTTGGCATGATGGCACAAACAGACTGGTGCTCATGCTAGCAATGTTGACATTTCTTATGATAATAAGCCAGACAGGACTATGGAGGACAAGCCAAATATCCCATCCCTTGTAAATCGGGTTATGAATTCTACCAGCCTTTCATTACATTGATAATAAAGGACAGAGGCGGACTTAGCTATGTTTCATCAGTTTCAAATGAAACAGGCCCCCAAACCGCTAAATCCGCCCCTAATAAAGGGCCTATTTGCAGCCCAGATAGTTGTGACAGTCAATCACCCTCAGAGAAACATGCAATGCCCCCTCGCAGTGTGTGACTGACTGTCTGCGTGAGGACAGATTGCAAGGTGTGTGTGTGTGTGTGTGTGTGTGTGTGTGTGTGTGCTGCATAATATGTGTATTTGATGTGGGATCTGAGATAAACTGAATGTATTGTCATGGCTGACCTCAGTTCAGAATAGACTGTAAAAGCTGCGACCCAGATGACACCCTATTCCTTACATAGTGCCCCTACGGGCCCTGGTCAAAAGTTGTGCACTATATATGGAATAGGATCCTATTTGGGACGCAGGCCCACCACTGGGGGAAAGCTGTAGAAGACTGTTCTCAGTGGATTGTTAGGTCTAGAACTGCCCAAAACCTGATGGATGAAGTGGCTCATAAATCCTGGTCTGAGAACAGTTTTGATTTGTATTTCCCTATTGGTAACGGTAAGGGTCTGGATGGAGAAAGCTGATCACAGATCAGGGTCCGTAATCCACAAAGCCGGTCAGAGTAGGAGTGCTGATCTAGGATGAGTTTAGCCTTTATATTATAGTGAAAGGACAGGGGGGGGGGGGGGGGGACCTGATCCCAGATCAGCACTACTACTCCCAGATTATTGCTGTACTTTGGACACTGAGGTACAGTAGCACTGGCTGTATGGGGCACAGGGGGTCCTATTATTCAGTGATTCTATGTTATGGGCTCTCAGAGAAGCGCTGTATTCTCTCAGTTTTGCTGTACTATTGATCACGATTTATCACCACACAGTTTTGATAAAAGCTGGATGTCATTGCTGAGAATTGACTCACATTTTAAGAATAGCCAATTCTAAAGAAATCACTATCACCCCGTTTGCCAATTTCCAAAGATTGTTAAGATTTTGAAATGAATACAAGCCATGAGGTAATGTTTTTTTAAAGCATTTATATCAGGACTTGGAGCAAACTACCTTTTTGCCCCTCAAGAAATATCATACAGGCTTTGAATTTAAATCAATTTACAACAAAATAATTCCTCTCTTTACCTTTTTAATTTGGGAGTTTTTTTTTTAAATGCCCTGTTTTTGTATTGTCTGCCAGTTTTCTTAGAGCTAAAATGCAAGAACCTTGAAATGCTAAAAACCAAGCATATTGCCTTAGATTGTCTGTTCTCCTTGTATATTATAAAGCTGTCTGTATCATATTTGTATTGTGAATTTGTACATTATTGAATGGGTGTATCATTGATCAACACATATTAGTTGCTGAGACAAGCAGTCTCTCTCTTTCTTATCTGTGATTGGTTGAAGGCTGTATTATTTGTATAATTTCATACCCCCCCACCCCCCACAGAACTGTTTGTGTCAGACTGCTATTTGGGAAAAGACGATGCAATGGGATATTGAAGCAATACGTAATATATTCTATGAACTTTCTGGAGAAAGAAAGCTTACAGTGTTGTGCGCTGCTCTGAGATGTATTTTTCCAGCTGTGTTGTTCACAAGAAACATCACACTGTTCGTTCGTTCACCCATCACGCATCAACGGTTTGTAATCTTCAGTGTGAGCATTTTATGCAAAAGTTAGATATACCGACAGAAGTTTAAACACAGTTATATGCAAGTTGTCACCTAATAAGGCTTTGCTGATGCTATTTGCAATTTGATGTTGAATAACAATGCCGTTGTAAATAAAGAATTGTTATTGCAACATTGAATCTAGTTCCACTATATTATTGAGTCGTGTTTTATAGATGCTGCGCTGTTTGAGGGGAGAGCTGGCAAGGAAGCATTTCATTGTCTTACTGTGTAGCCTACTGTATGCCATGTTCTGGCATATAACGAAAACACTTTAATTTGATTTTGGTTTTGTGTTTAGATGGGGAACGAAGGATAATCCTGAAAGTGGAGACATTATTTAAATTGATAAAAATATATAAACATTTTATCAGGTCTTGAGTGATGCCGTTTCGTAAATTTAATGATGAGGGTTAAATTATTATTGGTTGTAAGAAAAATCGATTTGTTCGTTTGTACTGCAAACACGTACAGAATTATTATTATTTTTCCAATGGTACAATAACCACAATTCACCTTTTTTAATTAAAGGAAATATTTATGAGTTATAGAAGCAAGCAACATAGTCGAATATTACAAGCCCCGTGTAGCTCAGTTGGTAGAGCATGGCGCTTGCAACGCCAGGGTTGTGGGTTCGATTCCCACGGGGGGGGGGGGGCAGTATGAAAAAATGTATGCACTCACTAACTGTAAGCAGAGCGTCTGCTAAATTATTAAAATGTAAATGTACATAGGATTTCTGCATCTACCTTTTTATTTTTAGAAAAATGTTTTATAGGCTACTTCATTACAATCATCATTATCTTAATTAACCATGCTCATCTAAATTTATCGAATATAAGTAATGAGGGGACATAAATCGAGTTGACATTCCATCTTTAATTAGTTGTTGCTCTCAATAGGGTTAGGGATAACTAACTTTCCCAATAGGCCTACCAGAATATTGGTTTTGGGACACGTTTTTTACATTTTTGATAACGCCAATAAGGCGGTATTGTGTGTGTGTGTGTGTGCGTAGCGGGTTTGTAACTTTAAAAAGGTCAAATCATCCTGGGGTTTGAGACGCACGCAGGGTGACCAGAGCTGCTCTCTGGCCAATAGTAGGAGAGCAGCATCTCGAGACCTTTTAAGAGTCGGTACCATTAACCGTTCTGTATACAGCGTTCAGTTTAGTAGAACACCTAACAACAGAGACACAGGGAGGGTATCCCCACTGCTCCTGCCTCTCCTGTCTACTTTACCTTCATAGGATTCTATCAGCAAGATCAAGCATCACACACTTGTAGCCAAATATTCGTGTTTCGTCTTTTGACAACAACGTGGGATGGATTCGACTAAACCAACTTCAGATTTATAAATAGTATCCTTTGAGGTAAGACAGACTTTAAGATTGAGATCTTTCGCAAAAAGTAAACTGGTTTAAAATAGTATGACATCACTATGTGTAAAATCGCTTTAGAACCTATGCAATTAGGCGAAAATGCTCCTAATTTTTTATTTTTTTTTCTCATCATGTTCCGGTATTATTATTATTTAAATTTCTGATCATGTTCCGTTATTATTATTATGAAGTTCCTTATACAGCCCTATTATAACCCGCTGTTAATAGCCATTGAACCGGTCTCACCCTAATGCGTTTTAAAGGAGTGGTGACTTGCAATAGCTTCATTAATGTTGACCTCTGCCGCTGACCTGGTGTTCTTTAATTTGGGTGTCATGACCCTGATTTGTCTCAGTTACTGCTTGGCTACCACCCACCCACTACCCGCCCTGTGAGGGGGGAGGGGGGGGGGGGACACACGGCCCTTAACAACTCATACTGCTCGTTTACAGGGATGCACAGTCGAGCACCTATTTAAAGTAGTTTACTCTGCAGGCACAAGTACTAATTTAAAGATATTGACGAACATCAAATGTGTGTTTTGCGAACTGGAAAAAATGCCCAAACGGCTGGTTTTTGATTGTAGGTTGTAAGTGCTGTGAATGCAGTAAGATGCTAAAAATGAATAGTTTTCGTTGGTTAAAAAATCAGTGCTCTCAAATTTAGGAATACATTTTCATGCATTTGTAAAGTGACGAAAAATATGTGTGACTTTTTAATATAATTAGTATTCAGATTTGGGAAAAATCCATTCCTGCAGATGTTCGATCTTGTTAAGTTGTTGTAGCCATATAAGATTTGAATTAGGCTAATAGCCAATAGGTGAAAACCTTCATATTGTGCGATAATTGAAATAGACCTACAACATTTTTCTTTCGTTTAATTGACATTAATATTGTGATATAGGCTTATAGCAATGTTGGAATTTCGTTCAGCAATCCTGTGATTAGCGGAAATATATTGATTACATTTTTTTAAAATAACTAACCTACAATTAATTGTATTCTCCTAAATGTATTTTGAACAGAAATAGGCCTGTAACACAAGCATGCATTATTTGCTCGTTACCAAATCCCCTTATTGTAGCCTAATTGATTTGATTATGTTCCCTATTTGAAAACCGGTTTATTAATCTTCAAATAATAATCTATAAAATAAACTTGAGAGGTAAAACTTAATTTGAGAAGGGAAAATATTTAACATAATTGTTGGAAATAAAGCTCAAATCTCTCCACCTCTCTCCAGGCAGAATAGCTACAACGTCAACTATTCCTATTCAAATCATCACAGATCGGCAGTGCCTCCTCGCTTGCTGTGATGTCTCTGTCTAGCATCCCCACCGTGAAGGGCAAGCCGTTCCACTCCAACACCCTCAAAGGCAGGCCTGTCCGGGGTTCGGAATACTACGCTCAGCATCTCCTCCACCCGCTCAAGTCTCTTGGACGGCTAGTCACCGACACCCAGGCAGTCATGCCCTTCAACTTCACCGCCGGAACACCCTCGTTCTTCGGTCACGGCGGCCACCAAACCACCGCCGTTAACGTTCTTCACGAGCAGATCTTCAACGTGTCGAACATCCCGTACTTCAACCGGATGATGCCGGGAGTGGGACACACTATTTACTCCAAGTACGAGGAGCTGGCGGCGGTGGTGACCGAGCACGCCACCGGCCCGTTATCTGTAGGCCTATCAGACTTCAGCAGTCCCGCCTCGAGCGAGAGGTCCTCCGCGCCCTCTCTCTCGCCATCTAAAGAAAGTTTATTCCACCTTAGAGGAACCGAATTATCACCGAAGAAAACACGCACTTATAGTTTCAGCGAGGACGACCTTTTCATGGTGCTGTATGGATATTCCCGGAGTCAGGAGCAGAATGCCGGTTTCCCCATCTCAGGAGTAGCCCTGCTTGGGAACTCAGGTAGACAGATACAGCCTTTGAAATGTTAGCGAAACTAGAAAGGGTAATTTCCTTCACGGAAAACGTGCGTGCTTGCTTCAGCTGTCCAAAAGTATGTTCGGAAGAAGTTTACAAGTTTACATTGTTAGATGCAACAACCACTTGGGGCAGGATATTTAATCAGTAGCCTACAGGAATAGGCAATAATTCTGTATTTCTAGGTGGGATTTGATGATTATTGGTTTACCTTTTGTTAGCTGTTGTTGTCTCAAATCCACAAATCCACATTACACTCTGGGTAGGGATAGAACTATGTGTAGTAGGTTATTTCAAGAGTGGCCTACATCATGAAACCAAACTGTCAATTTCAGGAGGCTTAATCTAGGTCTGGGAAACCAGCCCATATTGTCAGTCGTCTGTGTTTTGATTTGTAATGTTCCTTATAGTGTGTTTGATTTGTAATGTTCACCATTGACGACCAGCAACATTCTCTTCAACAGTTTGCAACAGCGAACGACTCACCTTGGAAACGGAGGCGCTTGGACTTCCAAAAGGTAAGCGCTCTCTCTCGCCCGCTCTGTGAACGTGTAAAGTTGTGTAAAAGGTGTTAAGTTTAACGTGTTTTTTTAAATGTCACTTACAGGGTTATCTATCCACCAGACGAGTTATGGCAGTTTGTCCCACTACGGAGTTTTCGCAGAGAAGAGCGCCATCACCAAGGGAACCCGGTTCGGCCCATTTCAGGGGAAACTGGTCAATACCAGCGAGATCAAAACATACGACGACAACACGCTGATGTGGGAGGTCAGTTATTATTTTATGTTTCTTTTTTGTGTGTGTTATTTGTCGTCAGATAAACGTTTTTAAAAACCTTTTGTCTTTTATTTTGTGCATTAACCAACTGTGCGTAAATGTGGGCCTAAACGGAGATGCTTGATTTCCAATTAAATCCCCGCCCATGCAGTTAAACAATTTGTAGCCACTTCAACTTCTGTGCCATATAATAGTCCTGTGCACTCTTAGAAAAAATTGATATTTGGGGTTCTTAATAGAACCTTTTGCTTCTTTGGACGAGATTAAAGAACCCTTTACAAAAAAAAGGTTAGGCATATATATAGACTATATAGAACCTTGAGGGTTCTATCCCTACCCAGAGTGTAATGTGGATTTGAGCCAACAACAGCTAACAAAAGCTAACACAATCACATCACACTCTGAAATGACAGCTAACTATCTCCCTTTTCATTTGTTTTAGCTGTTTTGCATTGACATTTATGTCCATATTAATGATGCTGCTGCATGATTTCGCCTGGTTAGAAAAAATGGCAAGCTGACTACGTCCAACACGTTAACTCTCTATGGAAGGAGGAGATCGAATTCACATTTTGCAACATTGTTACCGAGGTCGGAGTGGCGAACAGTAAGGTTCATACAAACGTGCTGTTGCTAACTAAAATGTTAGCTAGAAGCAAGAGGAAATAAAGTGTTTAATAAAAGCATACGCTCTTAGATTTAAAAAAAAGAAAGGAATACATTTTAACTGCCATTCTGATTTAAAAAACAAACTGCCATTCCAGCATGAAGATGCAAGAGGATGGTGGTTGAACTTGCAAATAGCCAATAAGGCAGTAACAACCCAGACTGGCCTATAGCCAGAGTTGGTACCAAGATTGACCTGGGCCGTCATTCAAACAAACAGATGCCTCCCTGGCCACCAGTGCATATTTCCAAACTATGTTTGCATATAATGACAAAATCTAAAAACCATGCTGGTATTCATGTGTCCATTATTTCATTTTTTTATTATATTATATTCTTAGCAAAAAATATTAAAATGTATTAGTAGTTGCCATAATTCATAAATGGCACCATACAGGGTTCTATATGGAAACAATTTTGGTTCAGTGAATAAGAACCCTTGGGGTTCTGATCAAAGAACTCTATGATGAAAGGGTTCTATATAGAACTTTTAGGTGTTCCATATATGAAGCAAGCGATAGAACCCTTTTTTTTCTCTAAGAGTGTAACAACAACATTTTCTCCCTATCGGTTGATCCAGGTGTTTGAAAATGGCCGGTTGAGTCACTTTGTCGACGGCCGGGGCTCATCCGGTAACTGGATGTCCCTAGTGAAGTGTGCGCGCTTCCCGGAGGAGCAGAACCTAATCGCGGTACAGAGTAAGGCACAGATCTTCTACGAGGCGTGTAAAGCGATCCAGACGGGCCAGGAGCTGTTGGTCTGGTACGGGGACTGCTATGTTCAGTTCCTGGGGATTCCACTCACTCTGAAGGACTCGCTGGAGGAAGGGAACGCCATGCTTCCACATGAAGGTAAGGACAGTTCATATAGAATATAATTACTTTATTTTTTCCCAGTGGGAACTTCATTTGTGGGTAGCATATATGGCCCGTTATTCGTGTATACCTATTTGCATGGTGAATATTTTCATATAAACATCACATTGCTCTACTGGGCCTCATTCTATTCTCTATTCTATTCTACATGTGTATCAAACGTATTTATTTCTAGCAACAACGACGCCACTACAATTTACCAAGGCATTCCCTAATGTTTTCCTATTTCAGATGCTGGAGAGGGTTTTAAGTGTGACCGGTGTGGGAAAGTGTTCGCCTATCAATACTACAGAGACAAACACCTGAAGTACACGCGCTGCGTGGACCAGGGGGACAGGAAGTTCCCGTGCCACCTTTGCAACAGGTCGTTTGAGAAGAGAGACCGATTGAGGATCCACGTCCTACACGTCCACGAGAAACACCGACCACATAAGGTGACACAGCGCCTTCAGGAAGTATTCATACCCCTTGATTCAATTGTTTGTTTTATCTCCCCCATCTACACACACTACCCCATAATGACAAAGTGAAAACACGTTTTTTGAAATGTTTGCAAATGTATTGAAAATTAAATACAGAAATATCTCATTTGCATGTATATAAGTATTCACACCCCTTTACTATGACACTCCAAATTGAGCTCAGGTGCATCCAATTTCCTTTTATCATCCTTGAGACTTCACTACAACTTGGAGTGTAATCATTGGAGGTTGCTGTTCACCGCTGCTCCCCATCTAACTTAACAGAGAAGGAAGAATGGGAGAAAATCCCCAAATCCAGATATGCAAAGCTGATACAGACATAACCAAGATGACTCAAAGCTGTAATCACCACCAAAGGTGCTTCTACAAAGTATTGACTCAGGGGTGTGAATACTTATATAAATGAGATATTTCTCTATTTCATTTTCAATACATTTGCAAACATTTCGAAAAATGTTTTCACTTTGTCATTATGGGGTATTGTGTGTACAGTCGTGGTCAAAGGTTTTGAGACTGACACAAGTATTGGTCTTCACAAAGTTCGCTGCTTCAGTGTTATGAGATATTTTTGTCAGATGTTACTATGGTATACTGAAGTATAATTACAAGCATTCCATAAGTGTCAAAGGCTTTTATTGACAATTAGATTAAGTTTATGCAAAGAGTCAATATTTGCAGTGTTGACCCTTCTTTTTCAAGACCTCTGCAATCCGCCCTGGCATGCTGTCAATTAACTTCTGGGCCACATCCTGACTGATGGCAGCCCTTTTTGCATATCATGCTTGAGTTTGTCAGAAGTGTGGTTTTGTTCCCCCGCCGAGGATCGACCACAGTTCTCATGGATTAAGGTCTTGGAGTTCCGGCCTGGACAAATGGCTATGTTTTTCTCGGAGCCACTATATCCTGCCTATGTCAGGTGCCCATATGCTGGAAGGCTTGCTCAACCAACTGTCTTGGAGGGTTTTTGTCTCGAATGTGTTGGTTTTTTTGTGTGTCTTACCCAAAATCTTGAGTGAGCCCACTCCCTTGGCTGAAAGCAACCCCACACATGAATGGTCTCAGGATGCTTTACTGTTGGCATGACACAGGACTGATGGTAGCTGCTCACCTTGTCTTCTCTCGGACAAGCTTTTTTCCGGATGCCCCAAACAATCGGAAAGGGGATTCATCAGAGAAAATGACTTTACCCCAGTCCTCAGCAGTCCAATCCCTGTACCTTTAGCAGAATATCAGTCTGTCCCTGGTGTTTTTCCTGGAGAGACTGGCTTCTTTGCTGCCCTTCTTGACACCAGGCCATCCTCCAAAAGTCTTTGCCTCACTGTGCGTGCAGATGCACTCACACCTGCTTGCTGCCATTCCTGAGCAAGCTCTGCACTGGTGGTGCCCCGATCCCGCAGCTGAATCAACTTTAGGAGACGGTCCTGGCGCTTGCTGGACTTTCTTGGGCGCCCTGACGCCTTCTTCACAACAATTGAACCTCTCTCCTTGAAGTTCTTGATGATCCGATAAATAGTTGATTTAGGTGCAATCTTACTAGCAGCAATATCCTTGCCTGTGAAGCCCTTTTTGTGCAAAGCAATGATGACGGCACATGTTTCCTTGCAGGTAACCATGGTTAACAGAGGAAGAACAATGATTTCAAGCACCACCCTCCTTTCAAAGCTTCCAGTCTGTTATTCTAACTCAATCAGCATGACAGAGTGATCTCCAGCCTTGTCCTCGTCAACACTCTCACCTGTGTTAACGAGAGAATCACTGACATGATGGCAGCTGGTCCTTTTGTGGCAGGGCTGAAATGCAGTGGAAAAGTTTTTTGGGGGGATTCAGTTCATTTTCATGGCAAAGAGGGACTTTGCAATTAATCTGATCACTCTTCGTGACATTCTGGAGTATATGCAAATTGCCATCATCAAAACTGAGGCAGCAGACTTTGTGAAAATTAGTATTTGTGTCATTCTCAAAACTTTTGTCCACGATTGTAGATGGGTGAGAAAAAAATACACTTATTCGATTTTGAATTCAGGCTGTAACACAACAAAATGTGCAATAAGTCAAGGGCTATGAATACTTTCTGAAAGCACTTTATTTATATGTATATTCCTCAAGTGGTACATTTTAGAAGCCCCTAAGTAGTTTTTCTTCTTTTTTTTTTATCTCTCCTGCACATCTTTTGTCTTTGTTTCTCACAATCTTTTGTTTTTAATCTTTTCTTGTGTGTCAAAAATGATAATAAGTGAAGGGCACTATAGTCCTTCCTTATTTTTGCCCCCTATTCAGCTAAAATAATACAGTTCCCCATCCTTAATCTTTCTCCTCTCTTCATTCCCAGTGCTCAGTGTGTGGAAAGAGTTTCTCTCAGTCTTCCAGTCTCAACAAACACATGCGGGTACACTCTGGAGAGCGCCCCTACAAGTGTGTCTACTGTAACAAGGTAAGCATAGAAGAGTGTGTGTGTGTGTATAATCCTCGGTGAGCTCACCATTTAGAAGCTTCCCCATTTCATGAGCCCCCTCGTAATGTTGTCCCGGTGCAGCCTGCAGGCACGCTCCACCGAGCCACTTCCATGGTGATTAGCGCCAGATGTACACCCACCCTATTGTTCCCCCTCTCCCCGCGATTACACTCTCAATTTACGGCTCTCAGAGGAACAGACGTTTTCTTTGTTGTTTGTAGGAAATGAGAACAACCCCCTCGGTTTTTATGTAGGCCTAGCCTACTTAAATAATGTTGTTTAACCCAAAACCCCTGTTTAACAATGTTGGCTATTTGCTAGTCTTTTAAAATATCTAAATGATAAGGTAGCTTGTTTGATTTTCCGAGAACAGAGAATGAAGATACACCATCAAATGTTAGGCCTGGGAACCGTTTTATTTATTGCCATGAACAACCTGTCGCGTTGTTGAAAGCAAAAAGTCAAGTCACCCAAATATGATGTTATCAGAACTACTGAGTGCACATTCTTCTGTTCTAAGCGTGTCACTCAAACTTCTATGTTCTCTACTCTGTTCTAGGCCTTTACTGCCTCCAGCATCCTGCGCACGCACATCCGCCAGCACTCCGGAGAGCGGCCGTTCAAGTGTAAGCACTGCGGGAAAGCCTTCGCCTCGCACGCCGCACACGACAGTCATGTCCGGCGCACACACGCCAAGGATAAACCCTACCCGTGCGACGTGTGTGGAAGCACCTTTCAAGAAGCGACAGAACTCAATAACCACACGAAGAGTCACACAGGTAAGATTTGATTGTCACTAAAAAGCCTACTGAAGGAATAGGACACGTTTGTACCAAGGTCGAGGCGTATATCTTGAGTGCAAAATCAAAATACACTGGATAAATACAAAAATATATGGTTGTACTTATGTCGATTTAATATGGATGTTCATTCTAAAATGTTATCTTTTCATTATTGACAGAAAGACCCCTCTCAGACAACGCAGTTCCCCCTACCATCTCACTAAACGGATCTTTGGAGGATACAACAACGATGCAGAAGTTCTCGTACACAGGACTGACTGTTCTGAACCCAGAATATCGACCCTGGAACTAAAACCATTCCATAGAATCCATAGAATTAGAATGTGTAATTCTAGAATTTGCCGAGGAAATTTCCAGTAGAATTCATATCGCTGCTAGGACACTTCCAAAAGCAATGTTTTAGATAATAACTATTGGAAATATATTTAATACCACAACTTTACTGAATTGTATGACACTGTCAATTATTTTTTGTCAAATGTATTTATTTATTTGAATCTGTTTTGACGTAATGAATACGTTATTTTTTTTCTGGCTAAAAGCTTTTGTTATTCGTGTTGTTTGGTTAATTATTGGTGTTGATCAATGTAATAATGCAAGATTTTAACGAAATGTTACATAACATTTAACGTTCGTGAGCACAATTTCTTATAGTTCGGCTTGTATTATTTAAAAATGCTGTGTAAACGTTATTAATTTATACATGCATCCCCAGACTTTTATTAATTTAAACGTGTTAATTTATATGCATACAATGTTTATCATACTACCTCTAAATCCATCCTATTTCGCTCTTTCATTGCTGTGCTTTTTTTTTTTACCGACTGTCTGTTTCTTGTCTCTTGTAGGCTGCAAAAGTAGGCTTGTGTATCTGTGTTGAACTGTTTAAAAGCATCGGGCTTTCTAATAAATATGAATTAAATAATAGCATGAAAATAAGCCTGGGTTGGTTTGTTTGTAAAGATAATGCCTTTACATACATTATTCGGATCGAAAAATGACATCTGATGTTGATTGTACAATGTAATTGGCCACGAACATATTTGGGGACACATTTAATTCATTTCACATAGTGAAAATCGAAAATATCGAAATACAATTAAGATTAAATTCTGGTTAGACTACACTCATGGTTTTCGTTTGAAAACAAGTCCCTACCCTCGTATTTGATAAGGCTACTTCTAGAGTTGAATAACTGTCTGATGCATGTTCGATTCCCAGAAGATTACAGCAGTAACGTCTACATAAAAATTGACGGTTATATCATTTACATTATATTTTGTTCAGACTTAATTTCAGGCTCAGTAAAAACGTTTTATAGACTGTTCTACCCGGTAAGTCAGAGTTGCGAGATATCTGCTCTTATGCAGATATCGATGATCCTAATGTATCACACATTAGAATGATTCTTGTTGAATTTAACTAGAAGCCCATACATTATTTTCATCCACCCTCATTGTAGAACGGAGGCTTCAGTCCCACCTGAATGGTCTCAGTGGTGACATTACACACATAGACTGTGTGTGTGTGTGTGTGTGTGTGTGTGTGTGTGTGTGTGTGTGTGTGTGTGTGTGAGCTAAACTTGCTCTTTTCAGACGGTAAGTAGGAGGATAGTGTGTGTGTGCTTGCCTGCCTGCCTCAATGCATGATGGGTAGGGGGGAATTGAACCAACCCCACAAACCCCAGTAACACCAAATGAATGACAATGGAGTGGCAGCAATGAGGTGGTCTGAGGGGCAGGGGAGGAGAGAGGATGGGGCTGTAGCATGAGGACACAAAGACTGTCCCAATGACATCTGCTCCTCTCCCCACACCGCTCCTCTCTGACTGTCCCTTAACCTCACCTTAACCCTCTCCCCTCCGCTCCGCTCCTCTCTGACTGTCCCTTACCCCCACCTTAACCCTCTCCTCCTCCCTGACTGTCTCTTACCCTCACCTTAACCCTCCCCTCCGACTGTCCCTTACCCTCACCCCCCCTTAACCCTCTCCTCCTCCCTGACTGTCCCTTACCCTCACCCCACCTTAACCCTCTCCTCCTCCCTGATTGTCCCTTACCCTCACCTTAACCCTCTCCTCCTCCCTGACTGTCCCTTACCCTCACCCCACCTTAACCCTCTCCTCCTCCCTGACTGTCCCTTACCCTCACCCCACCTTAACCATCTCCTCCTCCCTGACTGTCCCTTACCCTCACCTTAACCCTCTCCTCCTCCCTGACTGTCCCTTACCCTCACGTTAACTCTCTCTAACTGTCTCTTGAAGGGGTAGCACCCTGACCCTAGGAAAGAGACGGAGCTGTCAGGTCTAAAACATACTCTCTGATAACATTAGCCTATCACTAGTGAGCGGTGCTAAAATGGCTGGTTTTACTAGCACTTTTTTGATTGGCTAATTTAGAGTCTGGAGGCCTTCTGATTGGCTGATTTAGAGTCTGGAGAATCCATCATGGCAGAATCTTTTATCTGCTTGATATGACACTTAATATCTCAGGCAGTTACCAGGCCACCTCTTGGCCCTGGGAGGCCGCCTGCCAGATTCATCTCTATGCATGCGTCCCAAATGGCAACATATTTGATATATGGTGCTCTGCTTTTGACCACGGCCAATAGGGAGCTATTCAAAAGTAGTGCACTATATAGGGAATAGGGTGCCATTTGGGACGGAAGCCATATTTAATGTGATATTAATGATATAGTCCATATGGTAGATGCTGGCTATTTTAAAGGTTACTTCAGATTAACCTCGTTGTGGTGGAGTCATAACTCATTCTGTTATAGGTTATAATATCACACCACATGCGAACAAAGACGAATTGTATTGTTATAACATGTTATGAATAATTTATGTATGAGATTGAATGAGCTCATAAAAAAGATATTAGACCACAATGTTTTATCATATAATCAATCACCAATATGTGCCCCATTGAGGCAGAGTAAATAGGAATTGACTTAATATAGTTATGATTAACTCTCCTCCTCTCCTCTAATATTTCCCTTCCTTTCTCCTTTTTTAAAAAAAATTTTTGGGGTTTCCCCCCCCCCCCTTTTTTTTCTTGCTCCCCCCTTTTCCCCCCCTTTTTCCCTTTTCTTCCCCTTCCCCTTCCCCTTTTCCCCTTTTCCCCCCCCTTCCCCCTTTTCCCCCCTTCCCAAAAAAGAGAAAAAAAGGGGGAAAACCTTTTCCCCCTTCCCCCCCCCTTCCCCTCAATTTCCCTCCCCTCCCCTTCTCCCCCCTCTTTTTCCCCTTTTCCCCCTCTCCTTCCTTCCTCTCCTCTCCTCTCCTTTCCCTTCTCGCCCCCAAACCTTCCCCCCTCCTCCCCTCCCCCCCCCTCCCCCCTCTCCCTTTCCCCCCTTGTTCTTCCCCCCCCCCCCCTTTTTCCCCCCCCCTCCCCCCTTTCCCCAAAACCCTCCTCTTCCCCCCCCCCCCCTCTCCGGGTTTTCCCCGTTGCCCCTCCTCTTTCCTCACTTTACCCCCTCCCTCTCCTTCCCTCTCCTTTCCCCTCCTCCCCCTTTTTCCTTCCTCTCCCTCCGGGCCCCCTCTTCCCCCTTTTCCCCCCTTTAAATTCCCCCCCAATATCCTCCCTTTTTCCCACCTTCCCCTTCCCCTTATTCCCCCCCCTTCCCCTTCCCTTGCCTTCCCTTCCCTTTCCCCCCTCCCTTCCCCTTCCCTTCCCTTCCCTTTCCCTTCTCCTCTTTTCCTCTTTTCCCCTTTCCCCTTTCTCTTCTCTCCCCTCCCTTTTTGCCCTCTCCTTTCCCTTCCCCTTCCTTCCCCCTTTTCCTTTTCCCTTTTCCCTTTCCTTTCCCCTCCTTCCTCTCCTCTCCTCCCCTCTGTGTTTGGATGGGGCAGTAAGGTTTTTTGTGGTCCGTCTGATTTTAACCCTTATTGGGTCTTCTAATAGCAGTCAGGATGCAGATGTGGTGGGTTGGGTGTGTGTGTAAGTGCACGGTTTTTTTTTTTGGGTTTTGGGGAGAGTAGTAAAACTTAAAACCACCATCAGGGGCCACCCTCAGGTAAAACTACCATCAGGTAGACCCCCGACAGGGCAACCACCCTCAGGTCAGATAAACCCTCAGGCAAAACCACCATTTAGGTCAGACCCCCACCAAAGGGCAAAACAAACCTCAAGGCGAACTTTCCACCAGGGGCAGACCCACCATAAGGGCAAAACTAAAATAGGTCAAATTTCCATCAGGTCCCCCCTACCACGGGCAGGATTTCCCCTCAGGTCGACCCCAAACGTGTCAGACTTAAACCCTCAGGGCAGACCAAAATCAGCGACACCTCAGGTCAAAACTTACCATCAGGTCAGACCCCCACAGGCAACCACCCCAGGTCAGACCAAACCCTAAAGGGCAGACTACCCTAAACTCTAAAATACCTCCCTTTTAAAAAATACCTTCAGGGCAGAAACCATGAGGTCAGACCACCAATCAGGTCCCGAAAACCCCAGGTCAGACTAAAAACCAGGTAAAAACACCCCCCAGGTCAGAAAACCCCCAAACAGGGGAACCACCTCAGGTCAGACTATTTATAGCTCTAAGACTAACCCCAGGTCAGACAAACCCCTCAGGTCGACTACCACAGTCAGAAATACCATTTTTTTTTGGTCAAGGGCTACCCTAGGTCAACCCCATCAGGTCAGACCCCCATCAGGTTTAGACTACCATCCCCCCCGCCCCTAAGACTTTCCATCAGCTCAAGGGCTACCATCAGGTCAGACCACCATCAGGTCAGACTACCATCAGGTCAGACTACCATCAGGTCGACCATCAGCTCTAAGACTACCATAGGTCAACTCCATCAGGGCCGATACCCCCAGGGGCAGATTTCCCTCACTCAAGAAATACCACGGCAGACTACCCTCAGGTCAGACCACCCCTCCCGGTTTAGACAAAAATCAGGTTTAGATTTAAACCCTAGGGCAGCCACCCCCGTGTCAGACTACCATCAGGTCAGACCACCAAACAGGGGCAGATACCACAGGGCAGCTACCCTCAGGTCAAAATAACCTCAGGGCAGACCACCATCAGGTCCCCAACCCCCCATGGTTTAATCCACCAAACCGGGGCAGACCACCAAACCGGGCGACTTTTCCCCTCGGGGCAGACTACCATCAAGGGCCCACTACCACCAGGTTTAGACCCCATCAGCTCTAAGCCCATCCCGGTCAGACTTCCTCAGGCGAATACCATAGGGCCCAAACCCTCAGGTCAAAAAAAAACCCTCAGCTCTAAACTCCATCAGGTCAGACTACCATCAGGTCAGACTACCACCAGGTCAGATTACCATCAGGT